AAGATTAAAATATAAAATGGTCCACAAAACTTTTATACAAATCTTAAAATAGCTTAAGGATATTTTGAAATGAAAGCTTATTTATGAAACTGAAGTTAATAGCATAGAATTGGAACCCGACGACTATGTCGAGCTGTGAGAAGCCTGAGCACTTCGTATTGACGCCACATTATATAAGTAATTAGTATAATTACACGAGCTTTAACACAGGTAACTTTAGACGAGGTGGATTTATTTCGACTGCTTATGATAAATCACGAGTGATTTTCAGCGGAGTGAAACATCAACAACAAACCCTGAGTTATCTGGATTGTGGTTGTTTTTTCTCAAATGTGTAGTAAATCAGTGAATAACGATTTAAGATGACCTAAAACCCAATTTACCAGCTGATGACCAGGTGAAGAGATCAAGGTGGCGTCGAACACCAGCAACGGAAAATCGTATTACTCGATTATTACGCATCACGGCATCCTCATAGATCTGAGCAGATAAAACCATTAATAATAACTTGTTGTTCGAGAAGTCGAGGTAAGCGTTTATAGTTCACTCTATGCATTCCCTAACCAGCAGCAAACTTAATAGGCCAAATTTACTTTTGTCTTTGCAGGGATATACTACTCGAAAAACATTGGAAATCTGTTATCGCACGTTCAGTGTGCGACTATTTTTTCGATGCCCAGGCAAAAGTATCTAATCTTCAGGACATTCCGCCTGTTATTGCCACACCACATCATTATCTCATCTCCGTGTTTCGAAACAAACTTTTCTTCCTTGCAGTCACTATGTCAGAAGGTAATCGTGTTTACACATCTTTATCTGCATATTTTCATCCACCTTTTCATTTCGTTTCTGAAAGCGCTCTGACTATACCACGCTAAACATTCGCGATGCTCTCCTATTTTTCCCGAGAGACTAAAAACATTTTATCTTCGAACGACATTTTTTTTAAAGAAGGTAAAGCCATTGTGTAATTATGCGTTTAAATTTTTGAATTTACTTGTTCGTATTTTAAATACAACCTTTTTCGACATTACAACGGCAGAAGTTCATCTTCGAACACGTTTTAGAAAATGTTCAAGGTATATATATTTGTATTGTATTGTATTGTATTGTGAGACATTAATTTATTTGCAGTGCCGCCACTGTTCGTGATTGAGTTTCTCCATCGAGTTGTCGATACCTTCACAGATTATTTTGGGGACTGCGGTGAAGCCGTATTAAAGGAGCATGTTGTCGTTGTATATGAATTGCTCGACGAGATGCTCGACAATGGATTTCCTCTCGCCACAGAACTTAACATTCTCAAAGAGCTGATCAAGCCTCCAAATCTACTTCGGACGATTGCCAATACAGTAACAGGTTCGTAACAAGATTTTTGTATCGGTTCTAGTGCTTTGAGGCTTTTTAGAATAACTAAAAGATAATCACGTTTTCGTTCTACCGTTTCGTACCTACTTAATTTTGTACTCGTTTTGATTTCTAGATGTGTGTTCGTCTATATGAAGAAAAAGTCTCGGTCGTTGTTATAGGGACCAATAGAAGCTATTTGTGAATCATTTCGTAAACTATTTTTGCCGATATTGTTTTATTTCCTATAAACTTCCGTGGTTCTTGAAAGCAATTGATATTGAAGCGTGTAAACTTCTCTTATCGCTTTTCAGGTCGGAGCAATGTCTCATCGACGCTCCCAACTGGTCAGCTTTCATGTGTACCGTGGCGCCGCGCGGGAGTAAAATACACAAACAATGAGGCGTATTTTGATGTCATCGAAGAGGTGGATGCTATTATAGATAAAACGGGTGCAATTGTCTCCGCTGAAATTCAAGGAAGGGTAATATTATGATAATCGAAAGCTTAAGATATGGAAGGTATTTTGGACGTATTTTTCTATAATTTACTTGTTATCTTTGACGATAACCTTCATGGGTAACCTAATATTAAACGTACCTAGAGTTGTTTCTCTTTTAATTTATAAAAAAGCATGGTGCAAAGAACACCACATATACACTATTAACATTACTTAATGTATACCTATCATTTTTCCTGTGGATTATATGTGCGTTATTTGATTAGATCGATTGCTGCATGAAACTTTCGGGAATGCCAGATCTTACGTTGAACTTCGTCAATCCTCGCTTATTCGACGATGTCTCGTTCCATCCTTGCGTTCGATTTCGTCGTTGGGAGTCTGAAAAGGTTCTTTCGTTTGTCCCGCCTGATGGAAATTTTCGCTTGATGACCTACCACATAGGCAATCAAAATCAGAATCATGTCGCAATACCAATCTATGTACGGTAAGCAAGTATCAACTTAGATAGCCAGTATGTCAATCATGGTAAGCAAAAATTAACTTAGATAGCTAGTATGTTTATCTTTGCAACAATTAGTCGTTTGTGTATCGATATTATGTGACCACGACTGGCACTTCATGTATCTCGACGTCGCGTGTGTATTTTATGTATTTTTAAATTGTGTGCTGTATTGCAGGCACCAAATATCGTTCCGTGAAGCCGGGGGAGGAGGTCGGCTTGATGTGACCGTGAGCCCTAAATCAACTATGGGAAAAACAATCGACGAAGTGGTACTCGAGATGTCGATGCCAAAGAGTGTCCTGAATTTATCACTAACTGCCAGTCAGGGAAAATACTCATTTGAACCTACGAGTAAATTGCTAGTGTGGAACATCGGAAAGATTGAGGTGTCTAAGCTAAATACCGTTTGTACTCTTTTTCCCAAATGTGACGGTTATTAGACGGTAAATTTACCTATACGAGAGCAAAATCGTTCGTGAATTCTAGTCAGGGTGTACTTTTCTTTGTTTACTGTATTCTTGTGGAAACGAAACTTGTATTTAGCGAAACTGTAATTCTGCAACCTTTTCAGGTTGGCCGCGTGCCAAACATCCGCGGTACGATTTCCATGGTTTCTGGTTGTCCCCCACCAGAAACTCAACCTGTAATTTCCCTACAATTCAACATCCAAAGCCTTGCCGTTTCTGGCGTTAAGGTGAATCGATTAGATATGTATGGAGAGGTAAGTACGACACGAAAGCTTGCTTACCAAAAACATTACTCGTCTTTGTTTACCTTTACTGCCTCCGTTTGTTTCTGCAAACTTTAAACTGACTTCACTCTAATTGGAAACACCCTATTGGTCGTTTCACAGTATATTCGAATTATGTAAGCAATCGGTCTTCCGAAATCTTCTTCCATGTTTTTAATCTACTAAGGTTCATTTCTCTAGATCTTTACGTATTTCTACATTTCCGTTATTTGTTGCTAGCACAGATACGTAACTGCATTTTTTCCCAACTACGTCACTCAATACAGTAAAATACTGAGAGGATCTTCCTTAATGTGCGGACACAATTCTTTTACTATTTACGTATGAAAACTAGATAAATTCGTAATTTTTGTCCAATTAAAATTTTCGTTTAACAGTAATGCCAACGGACGGCGCTTAATTAAACACTGGCCATTTTACTCTGTATCCGTAGAACGATGTACATTAAGGCTGGCATCAGCTTCTCGTCGGAAAGAGCGCTTAATTGTAAATTGAATAGAAAAAGTGCAAAAAAAAACTGCATTTGGCAGGTACAAAATCTGATATAAAGGAATATCAATCTATTTCTCGTCAACGGTGCACTTTTTAGTACCAAGGAGCGAACTGCCTGAGCGAGTACGAATCGGGAATTCTCCACAGACGCGTGGCCCCAAGTCCGGTACGCTAAGGAACAAGCACACTAATAATATAACAAGCAGAGCTAGCGCAACATTGTGCTTTTCTCTCTCATCGTCTCTTGCTGCGACCGCTTGCGCGAAAGTAGCTGGCTGTTCTTCCTGGCACGTGATGGCCAACCTACGTGGCGTCTCTTCCAGGAGTCTAACCTAAATCGCAATAGTTGTTCAAGTCAATAGGTTACTTCAGTAGCAATAACAACAGCTTATTCATAACTGCTTATTCTTTTAATGTATATTCTATTATTAATAATTTGCGCTTTCTCTCATCAGTATCTCCAGCTAGTGCATTCACGTTGCTAAAACGCTGCATACATCATACGGGAAACTGCTCTAATCCTTGCACGGCAATATAATGCACCTTGAACACATCGCATGAATTTATACATCTCAGCGGTAGCAATACAGGTGGAACTCACAGGTCATCATCGTTCGTTGCATGTTGGTGATGGACATGTGCAGAAACACTGAGATCCAACAAACACAGCACACAAGGCAACACATGCGAAGTAATAAGAGCTGACGGTAGATACACTTTTGGCGTCCAACTAGTTTTGATGTAAGTTGGAAAATCTGTGCCATGGAAAATGATCGAGACCGTCCAGTAAGATATATTTTCTTTTAATTAGAAGGACTAATTTTGACCCGGTGCTCGCTTGGGCAGTGGAGTGAAATGTTGTCTTCTATTAAAGTCGGAAGGGTAACTAAAAAATATGCGAGAAGTTCAGTTACATGACTTACCATTTTGCCGAATAGAAATCGTGAGCTCGCGGTATTCAAACTTGTGGAGAAGAAGTTTCGACTTTTCCTTGCAGAGGTGTGTCTCGCCTTTAGCTGCTAGAAACTGCTGCAACTAAAGTCGACTCGGTTTATCTTTTCCCCGGTAGGATAATAATGATCGTAATGTCTGTGTACGCTAGGAATAGCATGGGTTACATGAATGTAACAGAGCTACGTAAACATGTAGTGTGACGTAGCTGCAATAGATATTTCCATGCTAACAGTATGCTAGCAGAAATTTTACCTTGCTACGCAGCATGAATATGCTGGAATGGTATAGTTTTTTAATAAGATAAATTTTCTAAGACTTCAGTGTCAGACTTCAGAAAAAAAGGCCATAATGTAGATAGATGATAATTACTTCATTAACATATATCCTTTCGAATTTATCAAACCGTATGCATTTCATTTAACACGAATTTCGGTTAGCAACTAACCTTAGTAACTATTAGTACCTATTGTTCGGGTTTTAGCGACAACTAAATTATTGAAGTATGAACATATGTTGTGTCCATTATTCTATCTATCAGCTGTGGGTTTTGCAATCGCTTGGGACAGTAATTTTGCAATATGGAGTTACCTTTCTCTTTTTTTCCCAAAAATTCTAAAAAATTCTCAATTATGTGTGATTATTTTATTGTGTATTTGTTGCAGAGCTACAAGCCATTTAAAGGAGTTAAGTACATCACCAAAGGAGGGAAATTCCAAGTGCGAACATAATTATTACCTGCTATTGTCATAACACGCGCACAGATGCCTGGCAGAAGAAATTACAGATATAAAATGAGGACGCAAATCTTGTGACAAAGTGATTAGGTAGATTAATGAAAACGTAGATAAAAGTTGACTTGTTAGGAAAATGTAACAGACAGTGATAAGTGGTTGGGTAGTTGTATAATAATATGCATAAATGTATGACTGTTCCAAATAGTGAAGTAAGTTAGGAAAATGCCTTTTGGTGCTTATGTGTATATCGCCAAGCGACAAGACGACATATATAAAATAAAGACGGCAATATCAACTGAGCTTTGTTAGTGTACAAAGACTTTGACCTTTGTCTATTTATTTTCCATATATA